TATATTTCAGAGTAATAGGACTTTGCACCAGCAGTTCCACTTTTTAGTATTTCAAATAGATTTTCCTGATTTTGTCACATGAAGATGTTCAGTCTATTCCTTTTTGCTTGGCTGGAGAGTTGCGCATTGATACAAGCTCCAGAAAACATGAGTGGAACATTTCTTAGGCTGCCCAAGTAGCAGTGTCAGGGATAACAATATGTGCAGATTAAGGCTATTTCCCCACAACATACTGTGAAACCAACAAGTTCCTTGGGGTACATATTGGCAGAGGCTATATTTTATTTTATCTATTTGTTCATATAATATTCAGCACTAAATAAAGTACACAGTGAGGGTGAAGACTACTTTACTCATTCCCTTATGCAGTCAGAAATGTTTGTGCCGTCATTTGAAATCTGCACTCAAATGCCTTGTAGTACAACTCTGAAACTCACCTATGTGCTGAAGAACAGCCCCTTTGCCATCAAAAAGATTAAGAGGGTGGGTTCTAGTACATTAAGAGGGTGATTTCTAGTTCATCCCCGAAGTTATATTTGAAATAAATGAAATCTTATAAATGTATAAAAGAGTCCAGAGGCAAGTATAACAAATGATGACAGGCTTTCAAACTAAGAGCTATGAGCAGAAAGATTAAGTGAATTTAACATGTGTAGTCTACAGTAAAAACAAAGGGCAGAGTTGACTGTCTACAGAAATATAATTCACACCAGCTTGAGCAATTTTGCTGGGAATCATTAGAATGGAATGATTGAAGGAGGGGACTGGAGTCAATTGTCCAGCTAATAGTGGCCCCAGGATGAGACCTGGGCGACCATTGGCAGGAGGTTCTAGGTCTGAGTCTAGAGACCAGTTGGTTGAGAATTTGAGACAGGAAAGAAGTCAAGAGTGGACCATTTGGAGGTTCTTAAGAAGCAGCAAAGTGGGCTCAATTTTTCTCAGCTTCACTGCTCATTAAGGTCAAGGTAATCTGTCCAGGTTTGTGGGCAGGCATAGTTTGATCTGGGGTTGACACTCAGGGTATTGGGGACTTTGGTTTGACTGCGATGGTTGTGTCAATGGTTGGGATTGTTAGTGAGGTGACAAGAGATTAACTTTCCAATTTGGATTGTAATTAGTAGTTTTTGATATGTGCATAATCGTTATAGCCATAATTACTTCAACCCCTTTGTTGGATTATTTGATTCTGGGAAGTGGACAGATTACCTAGATGCAAGTACTGGATTGGATGAGAAAGACGTGTAACAGGTGCTAGAAGTGTTTTCTGTAGGCATTACTTGGGGTTCATGGCTGAAGGATGGGCCTTTGCTTTTGGCATGTGGAGTAAGGGCAAGGAGTTATAAACAGTGCCCCATGAATTCTGCAGCAACGGATGCCATCCGCTGCCATGATAGTGTGCTTTGGAATCTTTCATTTAAAATCAAATAATGTTTCTAACCCTTATGGTTGTGAAGATAATTTTAAAAATGTGAACTGACTCTGCACCTAACCAGAGTAGACATTCTGAGTCAGTGGAGAGCCTTAAACAATATCTTTGACATGTATGAATGCCCCCCTTCATCCCAATGTGTTGTTAATTCTGAAATCTAAAGATGCCAATTTCAAAGTCAACACTTAAACACATTAGTAAATAACACATTATCAAGCTGTCATCCTCATGTTCCAAAGACACAACTGTCCCCTAAGCTGCTGCTGAAACGTCCAGCTTCCCTCTCCGTTAAAAAATTTAAAGTGCTGCTATGCCTTATGTATGCAGAAATGTACAGCACAGTGAAAATGTGGGGACAGCAAAAAAACAAACAAAAAAACCTAACCAAAACAAAATTTATTAAAATAAATAAGACAGGGCTACTGTATCATATTTTTTATTTCTTATTTCATTCATTAAAAAGCTTCTTTTTAAACAAATATTCTTGCCAGTTTCATTTATGTTCAGTCTCCTACACCAGAATGCTATAGAAACCAGGGAACTTGCTACAGTACTTAGATTCAGCTTGCCATGAAGTACCCAGGGCTGGATTATATATAGTATTTTGAAAGATTTCTGTTCAATTTGGTGTGTGTAGGGTTTACTTCAGTGTTATAGTGTGTTATTTGTGGTTAATTAATTGACTTGAAACGTAATGGTATGTCTTCACTGCAGAGTTAACTCATGTTTTTTACACTCGAGTTACTCCTCCTGAATTAGTCTACCTTGAATGAGAGTAACCACACTGAAATAACACTTTAATTGCTGTGTTCACACTGGTGCTGCGCTTGTGTTTTTCCCTAAGGCTTCTGAGGGCACATCCCATGATTCTTAATGCTGCAGTATGTTAAGTCATGCTATGAGTTCTTTCACAGTGTATTGTGTGAGAACTTGTCTGTCCTTTCTGAGGACCCAGGGAGGATTATGGGAAGGCAGTGGAGGACTGGAGGTAGTCAAGCCTGCATCCACACTGCAACATTGTTGTGCTAGCAGCTGATGAGTTGTGTGCACCCAAGCTTTAGCCTATATCCCTTGATGGGCTAGCTAATTCAAGTTGAAAAACACTCAAGGTAAGGGTTTTTTGTGTGTGAAAGAGAGCTGAGTTTGTGGCAACGCTCAATTTATAACTCAAGTTAACTTTGCAGTGAATACAAGCCCTTGTTGTTAATAAAGTTAAGCAAAGATGGATGCTCCTTGTTTTGGCCAGGATGTTGTAAAGAGAACAAGCATCCAATACTGATTCGTTAGCAAAGATAAGATGGGAGATAATGAGCTTAAGGTGGAACAAGATAAATGTAGGTTAAATATTGGGAGAAATAAAATTACATATACAGTTGGGTCAATGGCCAAGGGAAGTTGTGAAATTACTATAATTGGATACGGTCAAGGCTAGCTTAAACACACACCTATTAGAAGTGATTTAGAAATACATTCATCTTGCCATGCTGCGGGGGACTGGCATAAAATGATGCATCCAGAGTGATTCATGACAAGTCTGTAAGTCCCACATCGGTGTGTCTTCCATTTGTTAGGGTAACTTGATAACTTTCAGTTATGTTTGAGTTTAAAGGGACATTGCCAACTAAAAATCATACGCTGGGCCAGTGTGTGGCTAGCCCCTGTGTAGGCATTTTGGGTGTGGTGACGGAGGTGAAGACAAAAGGAGCTCCCACCTCTTTTCTCCAGCTCAAGGGCTGATCATGATCCTGTTGATGAGTATGTTCCCTGCTCCTCCTTGTGTCTTGTGGGTATAGGTAAGTGAAAGAAAGGAGGGGAGGGAAACATTGTGGGAAGGTTTGGGTCACAACCCTACCTTTCTACTCCCATTCTAGTCTGCATTTGAAAGGGGGATATGTACACCCCTTTCAAGGATTGGATAAATTCCATGCCAGTGAGCACCACCTCAGAACCCCTGGCAGAATTTTAAGAAGAAATGAACAATATGATAGGTACTGATGTTTATATTACTGTAGCATCCAGAAGTCCTAATTGTAGTTGAACACCCATTGTGATTGACACTGTATAAATATGTGTATAGACAAGGTCTCTGTCCCAGGGAGATTACAGTCTAAGACCCCGATCCAGCGAACACTTATGAACATGCTCAACTTTACACATGTGAATAGTTCCATTGAAGTGAATAGTACCGTAACCCACGTGTACAATTAAGCTTGTGCAACAGTGTTTGCAGGATGGGGAATAAGAAGACAAATCACATAAGAAGTATGTGTGTGGGGGGAGGTGGAAAAAAAAGAGTAGGAACTGAAAACTTAGAAAGGGGAACAAGAAGGATGTCATATGCTTAGCTTATGCATGTTTTAGAAGCAAGAAATTCAATTATTAGCTGAAAGTAGGCAGGAGACAAATAACGTTGAAAATACTGCAGACCTACTATGTAACATTTTTTCCCCTGTGAATATTGCTAATATTGCTTGATTCTGTTGCTCATTAAAATACATAACTGTGCCTTTTTGATTTGGCTAATAATATACGGCAGCTGTATCAGTCATTCTGGAGGATTTTATGGTGGAGAACATCTCCTGTCCTTGCTTTTTGCCTTGGCACAAGTCCTGTCTCATTTTAAACTTAGTTAATAATAGAGCCATAGAGATCCCCTGAGCCACCATGTAGTAATTTAATGGCCTATACCCCTGAGCTGGAAGGCCCATATAAGAGTTTTAGCTCAAAAGCATCAATCACGCACAGATTAAATGAATGGGAATGATAGAGCTTATCCTCCTTCAGAAGCGGTTTACCCTGCTGTAAACATTTATATCTGACTTTAGCGAGCATGTTCCACTCCTGGTATAATTTAGAATTGGGACAATTAAAAGATTTGCTGGAAGGCATGACCTGTTTACATTCGTGTTGACACAGGTACTTTTCTGCCCATGTGATTCTGGGATTGGCAAGTGTGTAGTGAACACACCCTGCCTAGGTGAGGGAGGGGCTTTTCAACTGACCAGGAATTCAATGTGCATTCACTAAAAGACTTGGACATAAAGCATTCTGAGGTGGAACAGTTGATTATTTGGCTGAAAGTTGAAAAGTTCATGTTGCAAAGATTTATTAAAGTTATTAAAGGGGGAAAGAACATTTTATTTCTTCAAAGTACTCTCTATTATAAAGACATCACACAGAGAAATTCAGGCACTTAAGTAGGTTTGCTATAATTCTGATGAAATAACAATCAGCTAAGATAATGGCTAATTATTATGTAAATTTCATTTTAATTCACTTGAAGAAGGAAGGAATTATGGTGTTATTGGTTTCAGGAGACAGATACACATCCTGGTAATGCTGGTCCATTCTTAATTACCATGGCAATTAAAACAAATAAAACAGACATTCATTAATGTAATTCAACATAACTATTCTAGTAAGGGATAATATTGATATTCCCATGACATCTGGAGCTGCATATTGCAATCTGCATCACCTTTTTGATATTATATCTTGACAAGCATGTTTCTTTTTTATTCTCCTGGATGAAATTTAGAGATCTAATGGAGAGTGTTTTGGCTTTTCACAGGATGAATTGGATGAACTTCGAGCTGAAATGGAGGAGATGCGTGACAGTTATTTAGAGGAAGATGTTTATCAGCTGCAGGAACTCCGGAAAGAGCTGGACCGTGCAAACAAGAACTGTCGCATCCTGCAGTATCGTCTCAGGAAAGCAGAACAGAAAAGTTTGAAAGTTGCGCAGACAGGCCAAGTGGATGGAGAGCTCATTAGAAGTTTGGAGCAAGATTTAAAGGTGGGTAAGGTACTTGTTTGGAGTATATTCGTAGGAAAAAGTGAAAGGACACAATCTTAGTCTCTTGTCAAAATAATAGATATAAAAGTAACATAAAACAATTATTTGTATTTCTCAAAATATCAGACCCAGTTTTCCTTATTTCTTGGCAGAAAGCAAATGTGCAACTTAATTTCATGAAAAAAGGAACTTAACTAAATGAAAACTATACACAAATTCAAATGAAAGGAACACAATCAAGTTACATTTCTATCTTGTTCACCTTTGCCTTATCCTGTCAATCAGGGTTGGAGGCTGTTGTTGTTCATCTCCAAGTGTTATTGTCAAGAGCATCTTCCAAGCTGACACCAGCCTCTTTCGTGGTGTTCTTCAGAGTCTCAAACTACTGGGTCTCCCTCATGGTCTTTGTCCCATGACTACTAGCTCTTGTCCTTTCTGGCCAACATATCTTGTCATCTCAAGTGACCCAGCCATCTCTGTCAATGCTCCCTCAGCTGCATGTGGCTGGAATACAATAGCCTTTGTCCATTTTTTACTGCCATTAGGTGAAGCACTTGCATGCCGCTTCCGGTTGATGCCCTAGTATAGTACTGATATATTCCCTGAAGGTGAAGATCATAGAGCATGTGTGACTGGCACAACTTTTACAAAGCAGCTGGCTGGGCCTGATGTTCTTGGTTTGAAACTGAAGTTCTTTCTCCTAGATGGACTGCCTGCCACAGCTAACCAGCCCCACCTGCCCAGAGCAATCTGGCTCTAAAGTGCTAGACACCCCAACCTTTTAACACTCCCACTTCCAGTTAAGAACACCTCTGCCACGAGAAGGCAAGTGGTAGGAGTTTAGCAGTCAGAGGCTTTGTATTGCGCCAACTGCATGAGGCATTTTCTAGGGTGTGAGAACTGATCCTCAAACCCACCTCAGCCATAATAGTTCTTTAGGAGTTATGTTAATAGATTTCTCGTAAAAATGATTTTCTTTCTGTATTACCAAAAATCTTAGACTACTGTATCTAAATTTTAAAAATCTAATATATTTTCAACATTTATGCTGTTTATTTCCTCTTTTTGCATTTCACTTAGCTTGGAAAATTGAAAATACGCTAATTAAAATCATGTTTCCTTTTAGTCAGTTCCAATCCATGGTGATCATCCCTTAGCAGTTTGGTACAATGTTTGGGTTGCAGACACTGTTGAAAAATACCATTCCTATAAAAATAAACAGTTTATATTGAAATAATTTTGTGGAAATGTTTCCATTTACGTTAAGCTTTGTAAAAACAGAGTTCAGTTATGCTGGAACTAGAACGTGCAAAATAAAAAGCTTCCTGCAACTGCTATCGTATTGTAGTTCAAAATCAGCTTCACTTTTCTAAATATGTCTGGGAGGAATATTCATCCTTGCCTGTGTTAAGCTGAACCTAGCAAACCTGTGTAGTCTTCTTTATTTTTTGGTTTTCTTGTCACTTTTACCTAGTACTGACTGCTGTTGATGCAGCAAGACCTGGTAGATGAGGCTGCCACACAGGTGCTGTTTTGATCAAAACTGTGATCTGTCAATTTTAACAGTATAACTTCTGCATTTTTATTATTATTATTATGCTATCCCTAGGGTTTCTGAGCTTGATATGTCAAGGGAAATGCTTTGATAACTCTGAAGTTCCCATCTTCATTTTCTCCATTGGAAACATGAATGTAAATTCTCCTATGGTTTGAGTATTCAAAACTGGGTCTAATAATTTAAATTGAAGATCCCTTGATTATCCAAGATTATAATGTATGTATATTGCATGTTCAGGTAGTTAGATTTCTTATGTGGTGCTTATGCTATTCTAACCAGGTAGCCAAAGATGTATCTGTCAGACTGCACCATGAACTAGAGAGTGTGGAGGAGAAACGTGTGAAAGCAGAAGATGAGAACGAAATCCTTCGGCAGCAGATCATTGAGGTGGAAATATCCAAACAGGCACTACAAAATGAGCTGGACAGGTTGAAAGAGGTAAGCACTAGCCAGGAAAATTATGCAGAACCATGTTCTTGGTTTAAATGGAAAGCTTGTTATCAAAGCATTTTAGAATGTTTCTGAAACAAAGATATTAAAATACCTTCTTCCATTGGAGCTGCTGATACAATTGGCACTGATAATCATCTGCAAAATCTTTTTATTTGCCCTGTGGCATTCATAATTTAGAATCCATTGAGAAGCCATCAACTATTTTTTATCCAGTGCCCATTACGGTGCGTATACCCCATTTTCCTGCATGCCTCAGTTTTTACAAAGGCAAAGCTCCCATTGACTTCAATATGATAATGTAAGATCTGGGAGTTTTGCTTATGTTAGGTTTGAGTAAATCCTACAAGATTTGTTCCTGAAAAGTTAATTTAGATTGACAGAATAAATCTTGGCTTACCTTACTAGTTGACATCAGTTGGACTACTGGTGGAGCAAGGCAGGTAGGAATTGGTTTGTAATGCACAAAAACCATTGAACTGAGAAACAAAAATGTTGTGTGTTAGGAAAAGGAATAATTTCTTGACACATATTCATAATGGATACAATGATGCTGCTTGGATGGAAGTGAAGTGAGGAATGGAGGATACAATAAAGGAAGATGGAAGACCAAACATGGCTCATACCCTGGTCTATGGTAGCATCTCTTTTCTTGTCACAGTACAGCATTTTGGTAGCCCACTGTCTCTGGCCGTTCTTAAACCAGATTGAGATAGAACATTTAAACATAATGAGGTAAGCCATTTATCCTCTGAGCTGTGGACAGATTTAGAGAGCTGGTGTAATTATGTGCTTATTTTAATCTTTCAAACAATGCTTGTGAATCAACTGGCACAAAACCTGATTCATTGTATAAGGTTGACAAACCATATTTAATTTCTGTGTGCATTTGGGTTGTGAGGAGAATGAGCTCATTGCAACAACTTTGGAGCTTACTATACATAAAGTGGCAGATCCTCAGCTGGTGTAAACTTCAGTGGAGCTATGTCAGTTTATACCACCTGAGGATTTGCCCCAAAAGCACAGTCTGACTGATGCCTTAGTTATAGAGAGTTTTGTTTATTTGTTTTTTTACTTTAAGCTATTTGCAGATGCTGTGCTTATAGGGCATCATAATTTGCTAAAAGACATGGCAAGCACATGCCATACAAAACCCTGCCATCCACTATACAAGCTGTTTTTTATAACTAGCTGTGCATTGTTGTAATGCACTGGTTATCAAACTGCAATCCAGAGAGCCTCCTGCCTGGTGGTCTGTAGGAGGAAGTATTTTGAGAACCAAGGTATGGCTGATCAGAGCAATGGGAGACCAAATGGTCCAACAAAGGAAAATTCTCTACGGAAAGGATAGAACAATAGGATTCAGTCAAGCTGAGGACCTGTTAGGGAATAGGTAGGGCATAAGCTCCGAGCCAGTTATTAAAAATGTACCAAATATTTGTCTGTATTGAGTGCCGGAGGTTCACTTAGCACTGAAAATGAAGAAGAAGTGGTTCCTGCCTTAAAGAGCTTACAACCAAATAACTGGAAAATGCCGTTTATCTTCAGCATTATTTGATAGAGACAAAGCTGTAAAGGAATATAGTGTAGACATGCTGGTAGGAAAGTTAGTCCATTGGTAATCAGTAGAAAAGCCATCCTAAAGGCCGTTCAGAAAATCCTTCATCTTTTGTATACTGTAATGTTCTTGGAGGCCTTTGCAAGGTGTGATGATGGCCTCAGAATCAGGAAGCTGTATAACAATCTCTGTCATCCTTTTAATAAATAAATAAACAAGACTTCTGTTCAGATTGCTGTGATCCACCATGCCAGGTTTAAATGTTTTAATCTGGAAGGAAGGGAGAAGAATATGTTTCTTGCTCAAGATGAGGACAGTAATGCATACTGAGAGACAAACTCTGGTCCCCTCCACCTGGCCATAGCAGGCCCTTAACCAAAGAAAAGATGCTCAGTAGCTGTGCAGATGGGAGGGAGATAGGATTTGGAGACCCTGCACTGAATTCCGCAGAGCTCTGCATTGTAAGAGCAACCTGCAGCCAAGTGCAGAGGGAGAGGAGGAGTGGCAAAGTGGGGTGTCAGGGAAGGGGCAATCAATCCACAGTTACGGGGATAGGATGGATGTGCACTGGCTGTGAGGACTGTTACAGCCCTGTGGTTGCAGTTGTGGCTGTAATGTGCCTTTGTGACTATTATGCAGGATGGGGAGTAGGACTACTCCTTCCTCCCAAGCCCAGCCTCTGACAGAGGTTTCCAGTGTGTAGCCTGGCCATTGTACCTATGTCCTGGGATCTAGAATTTGATCCTAGGTTGGGATAATGTTGTAGATAAAATTATATATATTAAAAAAAACCCTACAATAAAAGAATGTTGAAGTTGTGAAGTTCAGCTCTCATAAGTTAGGAAATGCCAGAATTAAGGCTTCCTGTGCAACCATAACTTGACCTTTTTGGTGCATGTGCATTATGATACAGTCTTTTAGATTACATGATTACAAACTATTTTTTCCACAGGACCCCTGCCCTATTCAAGGCATAGGTAGGATGGTGCTCACTGAGTGGGTAGTTAATGTACAAAAATTTGATTATCAGCTCTTCAGTCTAGCAGACAAAGATATAACAAGATCCAATATCTGGAAGCTGAAGCTAGACAAATTCAGACTGGAAATAAGGTGAAAAAAATGTAACAGTGAGGGTAATTAACTGTTGGAACAATTTACCAAAGGTCGTGGTGGATTCTCCATCACTGACAATTGTTAAATCAAGACTGGATGTTTTTCAAAAAGATCTACTCTATTTCAAACAGGAATTAATTCAGGGAAGTCCTATGGCGTGTGTTATATAGAAGGTCAGACTAGATGATCACAGTGGTCCCTTCTGGCTTTATAATCTATGAAGTTCTCTTTATCCTCATCATTCAGCATGTGACTCCATGCATTATTTACTACACACCATCCAAACATTGAACAGAAGAGAATTATTGATTTCCTCTTGGGTTTTCTTATGGTGCTCTCTCATCATAGTATCTAAGTGCTTCACAAACATTAATGAATTTATCTTCATAATACCCTTGCCCTTGTGAGATGAAGTAATATTATCCCAGGTTTAGAGATGGGGAACTGATGCACAGAACTGTCAAAAGTATCAACTCCTTTCGGGTCCCACATCTAAGATGCCTAGGACCTGATTGTTTCAGAATTCTTAGCATTTTATAGCACTTTATATATTCAGAGCAGAGCTCCCATTGAGCTGCAGCTGTCAGTGCTCAGCACTTCTGCAAATCAGACCTCAGTTGTCTCAGTTTGGGTACCCAGAACATTGAGGAACAGACAGTGGCCAACTGTGAAAATGTTAGTTTATACAATTTGCCCAGCATCAAATAGGTGGTTGAGGCAGGGATAGAATTCAATTTTCTAGGGCAGCATTCAGCTGCCTTAATGAGACCCTCCTTTCTCTTCCTGCAGTAGCCTGCCTCATTCACTACACACCTTGCAGTTTCTATAGCAAATGAAGCTGGGGTCTTACAGACAACAGCCTCCTTCACTATACAATCCTGATTCATCCCCAAAGTGGATGAATCCTGTGGACTGAATGAGGCAGCGATCCTGTGAGAGAAATAGTATGTCATCATGTAACTAAAGACAGCATCATAATGTGTGTTCACAAGGAGGCACAGGCAACCTCTAATTCAGTCATTTCCTAACCTTTGAGTGCCTGACTTTGCAACCTTTATGTTCTTTAAACTTGTGTGTGTGTGTGTGTGTGTGTGTGTGTAATTTTCTAAGATTTTTTTTAAGCTTACAAATTGAGAACACAAATTCCATTGTGTGGTACCATAATGACCCCTCAAGCCCCATGAGTCCACATCAGTGTTAGAATCTTTACAGCCTCATTCTTGGACATGACTGAACCATTTCAGCCAAAACTAAGAAAAACAACATAAACTCAGCCTGAGACACCTATCATCGAAAATTTTAACCTGAGTGGTTTATGTTTGGCAAAATTATAAGCAATGAAAATAGGTCCTTATAATGGAAAGCATCAGGCAACTTTAGCTTTAAGTGAAACTACTTGTGTTGCATATAATATGGTTCAGTCTTTAAACTTCAGTAGCTGCCTAGAAATGGCAATGGACCATTCCTGCTCCACATTGCACAAAAGTATTGAAAATGCATAGAGCCTGCTTCTTTTCCCTGAGAGGAGAATAGATTGTGTCTTTTATTTGCAGCTGCTAAATGTATATTTTGATGTATTCTTTGTGCTTGGAGTTTTCAGCCAGCAAAGAGAAAAAGACAGATAGTGACATGGCAGGGTTCAAGTTGCTTGAAAAGGGTAGCCCTGCTGAAAAAGACAAAGAATGGGGAGGATTAGGAATGAAGTAGCAGCTGCAGAAAGATTTGACATGAATGTTATAAAATGGTTTAGCAAGAAATGAATGAGATTGTGTAACCAGGGAGAAAGGGGGATTTATTTTCTGTGGAAAAGCCGTATTGAGCAGCTGATAACCTTCTTCCGTTGTCATTGAAGGCATAAGGGCTGGTGGGGGGGAGGAGGGAGCACTTTCTCTGTCACTGGGAGCTGTGACATAACTGCCTCTCCTAGTTCCCCCTGTCCTGCACAGGCTCTCTTAGCTAATTCAAAGATAAAATCAATTGCATTTGGAATCCTTCCCGCTGAGTTAAAATCCTTTTTTCCCTCAGCAGGCATGAATGGTGTTCTCCAGATTTCTTTATGCAGGAAATCACTTACAGTTATTGGAGGGCCTTTATTGTAACTGAGGCTTGTTATCATTCTCCGGAAGGAAGGCACAGGTAGAATGAGAAAGCGAGACAGTGAGAGGAAACAGGTCCTGTTCATTTTCATCTGAGAGGATGGAGAAATGAAGGTCTGGGGACGAGCAGTACTCTCGTTAGGGTGCATGAATTTAGATCAAAACTAAAGCATACTGTAAATGAGGTTCTGCAGGGTAGCTGCAAACTCTTTAAGACAATT